GCAGAACAGGTCAGGACAGCAGTGTTGTAAAATAATCAACGTACCGTGCCTCCAGACTCCCCGTGAACCTAGAATGGCCATAGTGGTGAGAAGCGCTGCTCCGAGCTCTCGGGCAGGCCCGGCGGCAAGCGTTGCAGCTTCGCGCGGAGCGCTGGCACCGCCAGGACCGGCCCCCCCCCCCCCCCGGAAACCTCGCGGAGTTCTTGTACCTTCTTTCTGTTGCCCAGAGTCTCGAAACTCGAAAGCTACGCTTCCACGAACGCAAAAACGGAGGTGGCCTTGGCTGCGCTCCTGGTGGACCTGCAGAAGGCCCTCAAAAGCTCGTGAGAGGGTGTGTTAGATTGCAGAAAACTTTCAATCTTCTGTAAAATCCATAATCCATGTTTTATCTCAAGGTCCCCTATTCATGAAACTCCCACAGTGTTTATGCTGGCCGGGCACAGGTCTGTAGCCTCGACGAAGCGGGGGTGCTCTACGGCTGCAGTACTCCAGCGCCCAGATGGGGCCCCCCGGGAGAAAAGCTAAGTGAGGGTTCAAGCGGTGTCGAAATGGATGAAGGTTTTGGAGGCTCTCGGTTTTTGCAGAGCTCCGCTGCTCTGCTTTGTCGAGGACGCGAGGCGGATCGAGCCAGGCCTGGTGGGGTGCAAAGCGGAAGGCATCTGAATGTGAGAGGAGGGGTGGGCACCGGGCACCGAGCTCTGATGTTTCAGAGCTTAGCGAAGGCGCTTCCAGCGGCTTCGTGCGCGGCGGCATCGGGCAGAATCGGCTCCGGGCTCAGGGCTCGGATTGGCCATCCCCTCACCTGCAGCGTTCTACGAAAGCTACAGCCGAAGTTGCGAAGTCCAAAGCCTTTGCTTGTAGCAGACCTTGGAAGCTCCGGCTGCTGTGGCAGACGCTGTCTGTTGCTGGCTGCTGCCTGCAGAGGCTTGACTGACACTGATTTCGTGGGTTCGGGTTTCTCACGACATCCTTTCACCGTTGATGCGTTTCGTGTAGTGCGTTTTGCTTTAGCAGAAGTTCACAACACACGGCTGTCTCTCCCTGCTCGATACCACCAATCTGTCATTGGGAAATACTCAAGTCCTGTTGTGCTTAATTGGTGGTCTTGAGGGCTTCTGTCTGTCAGGTAATGGAGGGTGAAAATATTAACATGTGATTGAAACGTGTTATCCTGATAGTCAGCTTATTTGCTCCACCACAACACGGAGCCGTTTACAACTAGCCTTTTATAACTTGGTAACAACCTGTTGACTTGGGTGTTGTTCTTCTTCATGATCTAACTAAGTAGACTACAATAGAGGCTCGCAGCTGAATATGAATCAGTCTGACGGTACAACGGGCAACTGAGCAATCTCAGAGCATAGACGAAGAGCACACTGTTGGAAGGGACTTGGACGCTTGCAGCCGAGCCCCCACCACAATCTTCGACTGCAGCTGCATCATAGTCGGTTTGGGAAAGCATGAGAGCCACAAAGAAGCTCAGAGCACTTCAGCGTTCCTGCGGTCTACATCGGGTTTCAAACACCCTGGCCCCCGCCCCAAGACAACAAGTCCTTCTCTTTGTGGCGCACACAGCGTAAGCCCAAAACGCTGTGGATTTCAACATAGGTGAAGAGATTCGAGCCTAAAAGCCATGGATCCTTCGCCGGAAAGCGCTTGCATCGAGCCGTCGGGTTCTTCGGCAGTGACCATGGGCCCAAGGATTGTTTCGGGATTCTTTCCAGTTTGTGGGTTCTTGGAGAATCTTGGACACATCCGGGAAGGCGATGATCGTGACAGGGCTCGTGACTAGTGCTTGGAACCTGGGGCTGAAGGCGCTTGACGGGCTTTGCAACGACCTGAACCATTGCTGCCGCTGGCTTGGACCCCAAACCCGCCAAGAGCTCACGTGCAAAATGATTGAGGTGTTATGACGACCCGGGCGAGGCTGTCTTCCATGATCCGCGATCAAGAGGACACGCTTCGGCACTCTCTGAGCCAAGCTTCATCTTCGGATCCCAAAAGGAAACGGGGATTTGGAAGGGTGTCCAGTCAGGTTTGGGCTCCTGGAAGCTTGGAGTCACTCCTTGCTTGGAGACAGAGGGACCAGCCCTTCGTTTGTGAGCGTTCTTGGTTTGTCATCCTGACATCGATGATTTCTCCAGACTGCGTGGGTATAGGGTTGCGCTGGTTCCGGTTCTGTGCAAGGAAGCCGTGCGGCATCTGCTGGCAATGCACCGGCAAGAGCTAGAGGCTGGACTTTGTTCCTGTTCTCGACGGGGGCTTGGGCAGGCATCACCGCAAAGAGCTTTGACTGATTATTCTGCAGCTAGCATTTTGCCCAGACAGTCAAGAAAATCTGCAGGTAAATCCCGCGCCAACACAGGTGGCGATGTCCGAGCATTTCGACGGCGGTGGTTCGGATGAAAACCACCACAACGGCGGCTCTCTGAATGGGAGGCGTGCGGGGGTCCGTTTTGCACTCGCCTCTCAGGAGGTCAAGTTGCAGGTCGCTGCACACTTGGCAGGTTTCCCAAAACCTCTTCCCTTAGGCCTTAATCCCAAACCCTCGACTCTCGGTAAGAACTGAAAGCTCGGCCCTTTCGAACGACCAGCTTGCGAAGGCCCTATGCCGCCGGCGGTGACGATGGAGCCGCCAGGGAAGACCACAGCTGTGTAATCAAACAACAGGTAATTTTCAAATAATCTAAGCGGAAAGCAAGCACCAGTACATGCACTTTCTACACAGCCTCCAATACTCTTGAAGCTCCCAGCCTTTGAAACAACCACACGCTGGACCTGTAACAGGAGCCGAGAAGGCGGCATGGCATCATGAGGCACGGCGTCCTTTCCCATCATTCGGTTGATTGGCGCATGTTGTTTTTTGCTGGGCATCAGCATGGATGTGTGGCGGTGTAGCGAAACAAACCGCACCTGTTCCGCAAGGTGACTCAAGCATGCTCCTATCACCTCGGGCCACGCATCGAGAATGTGAGCTTCGTCCGAATCGCGTGGCTTTGACTGCAGGGCTCTGTCACGTGAGTAGAGGTTTGGGAGTGCGAAGAGAAAATCTTCGTCTTTCCGGTTCGGCGGTCTCCTCAACTTCTAGAGCAAGTTACGATCGACGTCTGGTTAGAAGACTGTAGTACACGAGTTTTGCCCTCCCAAGCTCCAGTGTTCAACGGCAAGGCCAGAAGTTCTCATCGGCTTCTGTGTTTTTTTGGGTTCCCTTTGTGGCTTTTAGGCTTGGAGTTTGCGGCAACGCAGCACTGACCACAGCTTCATGCAGGGCGCCGGAGACAAAGACGGACGAGCTGCAGGGCGCCCGGGTGTCGGGGAAGTGTCCTTAGCAGTCTTGATACTCGGTGTGATATGTTGCTACTGTCACCATTGCTTGTGCTTCTCCTTCGTATGACTATTGTTTAATACTTTAGGGGAGGATATGAACCTTGTAGGCAGACTCTCTGATGATCTACTTCCAAAGGTCCCTGTGTGCTCGAAGGTGTTTTGAAGCCCCACCGTCCGCGAGAGCATCCATGTGGTTGTGCGCACCATAAGGTTTGAGACAAAGGCGGGTATTGCCGTGACCATAGCGGAGGAGGCTCACCCTGAGTTTTCCCAAGAAGTGAGCGAGCTTCTGGGTAATTGGCTGTGGCTCCAGCTTCGAGGCATAGGTCCGGGTGTTGAAGTCGGGATTTTTGTCATCTCTCGAATCTGGGACGATGATGAAACATGATCAAGAAGCGCTTACGGGATTGCTGGCATCTGTGACGGTCTCTCGCGAGGCCCAAGGGCAATCCGAGCGCTCCGAGTCTCCTGGCTTGGTACCGTCAGTAAGAGGGGGGGGGAAGTGAACAAGAGCATGAGGCCCTGAGACTCAACCTAAAAAGCTTAAGATTTACAACCCGAAGAAGGGGAACTTCCAAGCTCCTTACAGCAAAGCTTTGAGACTTGTCGATTAAAAACTGTTCGTCCTAGTATTCCGATTGAGTCAAGGGACTCGCCACGAGAAAGGAGTGAACACGAACTCAGGGTGTGGAAACAGGTTGCAGGCAGCAAGCACATGCAGTCCCGCCCTCGCCAAGGAGGTCGGGACAGAGCTCGGAGAACATCGTCAAGTCGGGGCGAGCGTCACAAGGTTCGGGGGGTTTGCTGGGTCTTCGGGTCTTAGCTCTGTTTGGCAGTGAGATGACTGAAGCTTCTTTGACACGGTCTCCCAAGCCCAGCCAGGTCGAGGTAGGCAGCTGAGGGTTTCGATTGGCGAGATTGAAGTCACGGCTCGGAGAACTGAGTTCGGCAGGTGGCAAGGGTGTCACGGTTTAGCTTGACAGAAGCTTTCGAGTCTGAGCCTCCGTCCGCCCGAACCCAGTGAGCGCTGCCGTGGCTCTCGTGGAGGATACCGTGGAAGAGGTTGCTGAGCCCCTTTGGCGCAAGTTTGGCCACAATTCACAAGCGGAAACCGCACGGGCCGGGGAAATCGCTCCTCAACTCCAGCACCCGAGCATGGGAAGCGCATGCAAGGTTTGTCGACTACGGACGCAAGCTGCTGCAGGAGCCCCACCGGGTTGTTCTGATCTGCTTAGCGTGGCACGGACTTTCACCGGTTGGAGCTTGCATCCAACAGCAGCAGCTCGCAAACCCTTTGCATCTCCGGCGGAAGGATCAGGGCCTGGGCTTCAAGGAGCTGGAGCCCTGTCCCAATTTTCAGAGGCTTTCTCGGATGTCAAGGGGGTGGATGCTGGCCGCTGGCCTGTTGATTTTGGATATACTCAATGCCAAAGGTCAAGATCGGAAGGCGGCTTGGGCCGAGAATGCTCTGCCATGCCTGCCTGTGCCTGTCTGTAGGTGGCAGAGCCTGAGGTTCCACATGGTCCGTGAATCCTCCAGGCATGCAGAGCCGCCAACTCAGGACTTGATCGTGGGAGTGCTTATCGCCATCAACACCATCGCCACTCTGGCTGATCCTTCCCCGCGTCCTTCCGAGAATTGGAAGGCATGCTGCATGTGTGATCTTCGGGCTTGTTCCGGCCAACACTGTCCACTTCAGTCTCCATTGGGCAGCAGGATCCCCGAAAGGTTCTGTGAAGATCCTGCCGAGGTGATGATGATTCGGAATGAATACCTGGGCTACGAAGTGACTTGGCTGAACTGCAGTCGGGATACCGAGTTCGAAGAAGGCTAAGGCACGCTGCGCATGATTCATGCATTCACTGTTTCGGTCGGTTAATGGCCTTTGGTTAGTGCCGGCAAAGCTTCACTCCCAGGCGGGTGTCCTGCTAGGCCAGATGGATAGCAACTCGCCTCAAACAGGAAGCTTCGGATGTGCGAGACCATCAGGCTCAGCATGTGCCAGTGAGTCGTTGGGGTTGTTTGCTGTGGATGTAGGCTCTGCATGGTTGTGGCTTTGAGCTTCTGACCTCAAAACAGCTGTACCAAACGAGGAACGACCCGTGCTGGCATGAACGATAAGCCAGAGGTTAAGAGCCAAGCTGGAAAGCTCAAGGCAACCCTCTTTCGGGACTCAACGAAGTCCTGATGTTTTTGGAGCGGGGCACCTTGGCAAGAGCATAAGCAGTGTAAATGTGTACTAAGTGAACAATTGCCGAGAGGAGAGCAGCCCTGAGGCTTCGCCATGGTCTTCCTGATCGAGCTCGTCGTCCGCATCCTTGTGTTGCGGCTGATTTGAGCCGAGACTTTTCAAAGTCCCTATCGAGCCAGCCGCTCGAACCACCTAAACCCTGCAAGTCACAGATTCGGAATTTCGACAAAAAAACAACAGATTCGGGGGCTCGGTCAACGGACCTTCCCCCAGCATTTTCGGCGTCTTTTGATTTCGGTCTCTGTGTCACCTTTGTCGGCTCTCTCTGTACCCGTGCGGCTCTCAGGTCCTCCGCTGCCACTACTTCTGCTCACTCTGGAACTGGTTTGATGCACCCCGGCTTGCGAAGTCAAGAGCTGAAGTGATTGCCAAGTGCCACCGCCTTTGCAGCAGAAAGCACCAACCCAGACAGCTTCGTGGGCTGTGACCGTCTGGGTCAGAGAAGATCTATCCATCTTGCAAGGTGGTGCTGGTTCTCATCAGCATGTTTGATCTGTTCCTGCTCGAAGCAATGATGATCGAATACGAGTGTCTCGGCATCAAACTCCCTCTAGCCAGTGGGGGCTGACCCTAAATTCGTGTCACGTGCGAACGAGGTTCACTGTGAACGTGACCATGATGCGCCTCGCACGGACGGTGAAGCTGGCGAGAGCTTTCAGGACCACTGCTCGCCGAGCATGGAGGGGTGAGAAGACGTTGGCTGCAATTACTTGAGGCCTGGAAGCATCCTCCCAGAAGTGAGAGAGCCGGCCCTGTTCAGGATCATGCGCACTCTGCGCATGTTCGAGGCCTGCCTGCAAGTCAGGGCTGCTTTGGAGTGTTGCGGCATCTGAACCTGAAGTCTTCATGCCAAAGGCGCACTTGAACTGCAAGGCCCCAAGCCAAACATGCCTGGTCCTAAACCTAAGCCACAACAACGGAACTTTGCCGAGGAAGGGCTGCGTGTCCTGGTCCACTCGGTCAGCGCTTTCCTGCCCTCACTCATGCGGCTCAGCATGGTATGGGGTTTGCGGATTCATCTTGCTGTGGCTGAGTGGGCCAATGACTCAGTGCTGAGGTTCTTTGAGGGAGGCATAAAACACACCGTCGCTGAATGCTGAATGCCACCCTGCAAGTTTCGAACATGTTGAGTGCTAGAGAAGTGAGCAAGTATTGTAGTGCCCATGCCTCCTGGAGAGCATTGTCTCAAAATCCCTCCAACACCGAGCAAAACGCCCTGACCACTTAAGCCCACACCCGCATTGCAGGAATTCCTTTGGCCAAACTTTGGCTAGCTGCTCTCAGAATTCACTTTAGGTGGACACGTTGTGTGAAACCGACCCATTTTGCAG